ATAATCTTTGGTGGAAAGAACCCTGCGATTAGAGTCTTAAGAAAATTATTTGAGTTACAGGCGTAACACTAACCATAGCTATTTTCTGAACTTCAGTTCTATTTGATATGAAATAAGAATAACATTTCACACAGTTTTATGAGATGTACATAGGTAATGTAAATGAAAGTACTTCATAAATTAAAAAATATTACATTGAATGAGCTGCTATTAAAAAGCTCTGGTTGGTTGTGTGGTTTAATAATGTTTATGGTGTTTTATTCCTGATTCTCACTGATTTTAACCAATAACAGTATTTTCGATGGCATATAAAGCTTGTAACTGCTGTTTCTTCCTTAGCAATTAATCATATTTTTATATTTATTTAAAAGTATCAAAATACTCTACCTTATTTCCAGTACGCCAGATGATTTTGGACCACTGCTTAAGCCATTATACGTGATGCTCTGAACCCCCGTTATATTTTCATTCCCTAGATCAAACTTTTGAGATGGAAGAGGCAATCCTGCCCTTCACAAAACTTTAAAACTTACTCAACAGCCATAAGTGTATGTTATAAACAAATGAAATCACCATTATCTGAGTTTTCAATTTCACCTCAGAGCCCTGTGTACGTACAGGACACTGCAGCTTGAGAGCTGCACTTGCTAACCCCTGCCCTAGATGGTAGCTAGTCTTGCCCTAACTTTAGAGCCCTACAGAGAACTTGTGCTCTTAGCCGCTTTCTAAGGTAGTTATCTGTTCCAATGGGATGTAGAAAAAATTCTTTGATGATTATCCTAATCTGGACCTTCATAATCTATAATAAGTTTATCCCAACAACTTTACAGTTAATTTCTTTCATTTCATTCTTCTCCTAGTCTGAAGTCTTCTACTTAATTCTGGGGACCGAGTCAGACAAATATCGAGCAGATTTTCAAGTCATGGATCTTTATTAAAACTAAAAACCTTATAGCTGGACTTTGTGTTCCAATAGCTATACCTGGAAGAAAAAGTTACCAGTAATGCAAAGGGATAAGAAACTTTAAAAACAAAAATCTTTTATTTTATTCCATACTAAAAAAAGACCTTGTCTTCTGCTCCGGTCATGTAGTCTCTGAATGTTTGTTGACTAGCTATGTTCCAGGGGTTCCCCTTCAACCCGGGAGCTACAGAGATAAAGGGAGCCAGTACCCGACCTGGAAAGACCACACTAGCTGCTCTGGCAGATTTGTACACAGTAACACTAGGATTGTGGGAAACTCTGAACAGATAACAGCAGCGAGGAGGTGATATTTCAGCCATTTCTTAAAGAATGAGAAGATACGTGAAGTGGAATGCATGCGGGGGTGTCCTCCCACAAACGGAATTGCACTGGGCCGAACAGAGCTTTCTCGATACACATTTTTCCCACTAGGTGAGCATTGAGCAACTCGATTGGAGTTAGTGCACCCAGTGACGCTAACCTTGGAAGGGTCTCTCTGGTCACAGTAAATTTTTTCATGAAAACAGTTTTGCTGGAACCTCGTTTTTTGTGATGCCCGGTTTAAGAGAATACCGTGCAGTTGTGAAATTTTGTTTCCTGCGTGGGAACAATGCTGCAGAAACTGTTGAGATATTGAACACAGCGTACAAGGACAGCGCTCTGGAAAAAACTCAGGTGTACGAGCGGTTTTCTCGTTTCCAGAAAGGTGCCATGTTGATGATAGATGACAACCTGGATGTCCGGAAGAGACGGAAATGTGGACTCTAGTGCACTTGGAGTCCATTCCACCAGCTCAGACTGTTCCTGAAGCGCTCTATTTAGAGGGTCTGAAAATAGTTCCTAACAGTGTGCAACAAAAGGTCTAATTTGTGCCAGATAGGGGACTGGCTTTGCCACCATGGCAATGCACCTTGCTCGGCAGCCATCTCAGGGCACCGGTTTTTGGCGCAAAATATGACTTTCTTACTCCCCACACACCTTACTCACCAGACCTCACTCCTTGCAACTAGCTTTTGTTTCCGTGAATGAAGGACAGGAAAAGACAGTGATTTTGACAACATAGAAGAGGTGAAGAAAAAATGAGGGAAGTGCTGTCAGCCATCCAAACATGAGTTTGAAAAATATTTCTAAGAATGAAATAGTATATTTGACAAAAATATTGTGTAATGGAGAGTACTTTTAAAGTGATAAGGTTGTTTTGTAAAAAAAAAAAAATTAATATATGGCTTTGGATGGGGCCGGGGGTGGAATTCCAGGTTTTTTCTGTTGTTGTTGTTTTAGGATACCCCTTGTGTTCTACACAAAGAGGAATCATACAAATAAAGGCAGCTGTCTGAAACTAGAAAATCCACAGTGGGGGTGGGTTGGGGGTGGGGGTAAGAAGAGTAGGCAAAGCCTGAATTTAGTCTGCCCATTCATTTTGTACCTGGAAAATTGATTAAATACTTTTGCGTCTTACTATGTACATTGAGGGGTGGGGAGAAGCATGCCTTCTCTTCAAAGTATTTTATTGCAAGAGTCAAGTAAGGTGATGTGCATGAAAGTACTTAGGCTCCCAGTAAATTAGCTTGCCTGCACAGCAGGGGTAAGTATTTTAGCTTTCAGTGTATTTTATACTCTGGTCCTTCTGTTTCTTTCCAATTCCTTTTTAGTCCCTTTCTCATTCTCAGTCCAGTCATCCTGTGCTTATTGAAGAGAACACCCTGGAGTTCTTTCGTCCACCATGTACACTTAACTACCAAAAACAATGTGTCTCTCTTATGCTTTAAAAATCTTCTGCAGCTCCAAGTATTGTTATAGCTAAAAGCTTATCTCAGGACTGTTCTCAGCTGACTGTTATTTCTTCAGTGAAGCCATAAACGCACACTCTGCTCCAGAATATACTTATTTCTTCTGTGAATCTTTGGTGCGTGGTACTTTGTACATATTACCAGAAATATCATTTACCATATTCATACCACCTTATTCTTGAGTATATCTTTTTAATCGTTTTTCTCCTCCACATGAGTTTTTTTGAGGAGAGAGTGCTGGTTTAAATCAGCCCAGTTTTCAGCATCTGCCATAGTGCTGACACATAATACATGCCTGGTAAATGTTTCTACGTAAATGAATTAGACCTTCAGTGGTTGTGGCTCTATTCACTTACTATCTGTTTTTGTTTCTGTTGTTAATCCTCTCTAGCTCTCAGTGTTCTTAGGATCTTGATTAATTTAGATACTCTAAGATCAAAATCCCCCAATGAAGTCAGTCTCTGTAATTCTGAAATGATTTCTACTCTTTTCATTCTACACTCACTCCTCTTTAAGTCTCCCTAAAGCCCTCAAATCACTTGATAGTCATTAGCTTGTAAATTGTTAGATACTATTTTAAATTTTATGTGTAAAAATTTTTTTTATGTAAAACGTGTAAACCCACATAGTTTGTCAGCTCTTGGAAAGTAGAGATTGTGCATATATTTCTGTCTGACCTGTAATCCTATGATTATAATACTATGATTTTCTGACGAGTCTGGCATGCAGTTATTCCTGTCTCTCTATAATAAATCGTTTTCACTGGTCGCACTAAAATTCTTTAGCTCTCGTTTTGGCATTTGTCTTGCAGATGTTCTACTCATGGTACTCCAGGACCAGAAGGCAACCCTATTTCAGATTTACCACTTCTAGGCAGTCCCAAGGAAGCTTAATTAATTAGCTTTCAACCCTCCAACACTAAGCACTGCTTAACATTGAAAGAGAATGTTAAATATCATGATATTGAATAGATTGCAGGAAAGTCCTTCAAAAAGTTTGTGGAAATTGCAATTTTTCTACAAACTTTTTGAAGCCCCCTTGTTAGGCTGGGTTGACCAATCCAAGAGAAACAAATCCAAGGACACTCATATATGTGAGAAGAGAAGTATATATCAAGAAGTAATTTTTTTTTTAACATTTTATTAGGGGCTCATACAACTGTTATCCCAATCCATACACACATCAATTGTGTAAAGCGCATCCGTACATTGTTTCTCAAAACATTTTCTCTCCATTTAAACGCCCGACATTAGGTCCTTATTTTTCCCCTCCCTCCCCGCTACCCCCTCCCGCATGAGCCCTTGATAGTTTATAAATGGGTATTTTGTCATATCTTGCACTGTCCGACGTCTCCCTTCATCCACTTTTCAGTTGTCTGTCCCCCAGGGAGGAGGTCACACACAGTTCCATGTAATCGGTTCCCTCTTTCCTACCCATTCTCCCTTTACCCTCCCTGTTTTGCCACTCACACCACTGGTCCTATAGGACTCATCCGTCCTGGATTCCCTGTATTTTCAGTTCCTGTCTGTACCAGTGTACCTCCTCTGGTCTAGCCAGTCTATATCAAGAAGTAATTATGCATCAATAAAACATCCCAGCCCGCACAGATCAACTTCTTAAGTCCAATAGTAGTCCATACATCCCTCTGCAGACTCATGTAGCCACAAGCAATGATGCAGAATGCAGGAAGATCACAGGCCAGTGGGTGAAAACTCGGTGGATCAAATGGTGGTGGAAGCATCGTAGGACTCTGGAAGGTCCCTGGCAGGTCTCTGAGTGGCTTGCTAGCAGGAGGGTGAAGGCAGAGAGTTGGGTGTGTGGGTGGGTGGGGAAGTTCCCAGGACCCTCTTTATGAGGAGGTCACACCCACATGGAAGTACCATCAGGCTGTGACCTGATTGACAGGCTATGCCCTATCCCCACACTTCAAGTTGACACGAAATTATGTAACCACCACACCCTTTGTATTATCTAAATGCCCTCTGCTGCATAACTAACTTTATCTATAGTTGTATTATTTTTGCTCCATCCCTACGCTTTGGTGTTTTCCCAAAGTTTTCCTACAGCACCAATCCAAACAAAATATTAGTTTGTTGTTGTTTTTTCTAGTTCTCACCTCAAAGCTTCAAGGCCCCCTAACATTGTATGCTGCTGGGGGAAATGTGATATTGCAAAAGAACATTTCAAGGAGATTTTGTGTGTGAAAATTTGGAAGGATGAATGAAAATTCTTTATTATTCTTTCAGTCCTTGGCTCTCTTCCTCATTGGCTATTCCTTCAGTGGCCCCAATCACCTTTGCATCCATTGTAGAAGAAGAGCTACAACAAGAAGCGGCTCTTATCAGAAGTCGAGAAAAACCATTGGCTCTGATTCAGGTATAGGACCTGCCTTTAAGCGTTTAACTTCGGGAAGAACTAGTCTACATTTTATTCGAATTATATTCATTTATTTTGCACAGGCTCATATGTCTATCAGATTAAAATGTAAATATCATGTAAAACTAAACCGAGGCACCCAGCAATAGAAATATCAAATGGAGTCATTCAGCAAAACTAATTCAGAAACAATAAATTGTGATTGCTAGTATTTGCTGCTTGGGTGATGCTTTGGACCGATTGAGTTTTCTGAAGCACCCAGTGGAGAATAATTTGGCAATATGTAGCTGCCCACTTGGCTTCTGTACCGTTAAACATTCCTAGGTTGTAAGCAACAGCCACCAACTGGCTGAGTTAAGAAAGGGAGTTTGTTTGAAGGATATTAAGATTCCACAGACTGAGCTGGAAAACTGAAGAGCCAGACTTGGAACTAGACCCTGAAGATTTGGCAGGGAAAAGTTAGAGGATTTGTATAGTACCCAAAAATATGTGACAGGGTGAAGCTACTGGAAAGAATGGACTTCAACAATTTTCAGTTTCTTTTTCCTTCTGCTCAAGACTCAGATTTCTGGGAGGGTTGAGTATCTGATGATCCTAACTCTGGTTTTAAGCCTTCTCCTTTGCTAGAGAATAACTATAGACTTGATTTAAATCCACTGCATTACACCCATGGATAATGTTCGATCTCATAAGGACACTGGCAAGCTAATGTAGAGGATATAATGAAAAGAACTGAAGCGAGTCGTTGTGTCTTCCCCTCTTCCACTCCACCCCTTTCAGATTGAGGAGCGTGCTATACAAGATTTGCTGGTCTTCTATGAGGCACTTGGCAACCCTGATGAGTTTGTCATTGTTGAAAGGACACCACAGGGACCACTGGCGGCACCTATGTGGAATAAACATGGATGTAGACCACTGTGGAGTTGAAATGCATTTTTCATCATTGTGATTGGAAAAATCCTAAATTGAAAAGTTATGGAAAGAAGTTCTTACATGTTTGATAACAGGTCATTATAGAATAAAAAAGCTTCAAATTTCTTTATTGTAGTTTAAGTATATAATGTTTGTATGATTAAAAAGAAATTGTGATTTTAATTTCTTTTTATGTAAAACTTTGTGGAAGGAAAAATTTGTTACATTTAAGTAGAATTACTTCTTCTGATTAATTTTATAAAGGAAAATATGAATTATTAAAGTGTAAAATGTGAGTGCTGCATTAAAAAGAACTTTTCCATTTGTTAATTTGCTATAAATAATTTAGAAGATGTTTGCCAAATACCTGTTGTCACTCTTTTTGTCATATGCCGTCGATGAGCTTAAAGTAGGGGCACTTCTCACTTTCCTGATCTGGAAAGAGCCAGAGTTTTGTGTAGCTTTTATGTCTCGACTGTTGTATTTTTAAAATCTAGCTATGAATGGTCTACGTCTATATAAAGCTTAATTTGCTCAAATGTTATATTGCACTTTGGACAGCACCTTCTCCATTTTGCATTAAGCTGTGGAATAGAATGGAAGTTAATATAAATTCTATTCTAGATAGCTTAGGCCAAACAGTAGTTTAAGATTTAGTGTCATTACATTTTTTTATTTTGATTTTGGGGGGATGATTCTTATTTGTGAGAAAATTAAATTCTCCCAAGTGCTAAATTTTTCTATAATTGCTTATTTATCCATACATGAATAGCTTGGAAGAAGATTGGTTTATGAAGTTTGATTTACATGAAGTTATATAATCAGCAATTCTCTGATTCTGGGTTATCTGAATAGACAAATAATTGCTTGTTTTCTTTGCAGTGTGCTGTTTAGTTTGTTTTTTGAGTGGTTAACTTTTAAAAAACAAATAATAAATATGTGCTCCATCATCTCGACCAGTTGGCATGATTGTTTTAGATTCTGGAAGATAAGTCTAGGGGAATAGACAGGGAATCAGCAAAGTTATAATTCAGCTAATGAAAATAAGGCTTTATTTCAGGTTTAACGCTATTCAAAAAGCAAATGTGTAAGCAAATGTGCAATAAAAAGGAACCTTGATCCATTTCATTACTAATGTGTGTTTGAAATGTTGTACTGTATTAATCTTTATTTTAGGAATTTCTAACCCTATATACTGTATAATAGAATATGTTTTTGATGTTTTTTTCACTTAGATGCTTTTAAAAGGTCAGTTTTTTCCAGTTATGCACCAGTAAAATTTTTATATTATATGCTTTGAGTGAATTAAGAAAATAGGAATTGTATATGTTTTCAATTGATGTTCTAGTAAAGGAGGATTATGAATATTTTATTTCATTAGGGGCTTTAATTGTTCCATTCCTCGTGAACATCTGAAGCTATTAGAAGGTGCTGGTTTTCTTACTGTTCTCTTTGTGCACGGACTTTATAGCAGGAGGTGTGGAGGGGAAGGATAAAGGACTGATGGAGCTCGTTGGGGCTTTATTCTTTTCTGAACTAAGACATCTTAGGATTTTGTATATTTTAATTGGAAAAAAAACAGGTTCTTTTGCCAATAGAAGCCAATGAGAGAGAAAAGCACTACAACAGACTATAATTCTTCAAAAGCGACTCCACAAAGAGGCAACCCAATGCTTGTCACCCAAAAGCCCAGGACTTTTCATCTATTCGTCAGTCTGTATCTGTTCATTCTTCTCTGATGCCAGGACTTCAAGGAGGACATAATAAAATGGAAAAAATCCAAAAAAAGATCATTTCATGGTTCAGGAGTGCAGAGAATTTTTTACTTTTTGTGAATTAGGTAAAGGTTTACAGATTATACCATCAATTTTATATTCAACTTCTCAAACTCCCCAGTGGCTTGCCTCATTTCCTCAGTAGCTTATTATTTTTGCCCAACTCTCCCTTGCTAGAGATCTTCCATTTCACCAGGTTAATGCCTGTCTACCCACTAACCTATTGCTTTCCTTTTCTCCCCCGCCCTCGCTCATCCCTGGTAACCATCAAACTGTTTGTTTTGATATGAAAGACCTTTTGAGTTGTTTTAATAGTGTGCCTATCTGCTAGTTTGGCTCAGCATAAGGTCCTCCAATTCTAGCTAGGTCAAGAGTTATTTCTGAGTCTCATTATTTAATGTAGAATAGAGAAGTGCTTACGATGGACTAAAATAATCATAGAACTCTTTGGCTTGGAAAGGTTATGCAGGAGTGGGGATGATGAAATTAAGGGTTTTCAGAGGCAAAAATGCTTAAAATTTGATAAATCAAGGCTGCTAATCAGGGAAAGCCTTATTTAAGTTATTTGTGGATATTAAATCTTAAAGCTTTAATAAAAGAGAAGTTTTTAGGCTTAGTTCACTTTGAATCCTAGTGTGATGGAGTAACGATATGTAGAGACAAGAAAATTGCATATTCTTTTTTTCCCTAATCATTTTATTGGGGGGCTTATACAACTGATCACAATCCATAAATCCATACATTACGTCAAGGACATTTGTACATTTGTTGCCATTATCATTTTCAAAACATTTTCTTTCTACTTGAGTCCTTGGTATCACCTTCTTGAAGATTGCATATTCTAATGAATGACCAATCTATGCCCTATGAATGTGAGGGACTGCCCTGAGGGGGCATGTCTGACCTACATGAGGTAGTAGGAGACTCCGACTGCACATCAGCCCAAGGATAATTCCTGAGGTGGAGGTCAAACATTCCTCTCCACCCTCCATTCCTTTTATCCTCTTCTGACACCGGCCCATCTTCTCATGGGCCTCTTGCTTCTCAGCAGAACTCACAATTCCAGAATGCATATTCGGGAAGCTGACAGGATCAAAAAGCATTATGGATACAGCCTTTTTGTCCTCTGTGCCTCTTCTCACCATGTCAGCAGACACGTCTCTTTGGTCCACAGACTCAAGCTTGTGGCCTTTTGGCCTCTGCCCACATTGAGCAAATATCACAAAGGGGCTAGCACTGCTGAGTACCCGGAGGCACACAGCTGTACTCATTCCATGGGCGGTAAATTCCAGTGCTCTGCCTCATGCCCTTAGTGCTTGCACCTCTGCACCCTCTTCTGCGACCATCGCTTTGCATAGGGATCTTGCTTGCATGCCAACGGTGGTGCTTCTCTTTCTTGATGTCCTGGAGTTCTCTGTTCCAGCTATGGAAATGGCTCGTGTTACACCCAGTAAAACAGCAAAACTGGCCAACCCCTTCTATTAGAATTTCACACAGCCTATTTGCATGTGAAATTGGTGGAAATTTCAAAGACTAGGCTACAGGAGTTGTACCTAGGAATTTCACTTCAGTACAAAAGCTATGCCTAATTGCTGAGTCTAACTAAATGTATTTTCAATGAGTAAAGGAAGTCTATCAGTTTGTTGACAAGTGCTAGGATTTAGGCGACAGGTTTACTCTCAGACAAAATTTAATTTCGGAGGCTTTACACAAGTAGTTTTAGATAAATATTAAACTGTACGAGTAATTTCAGCTCTAGGAGACCTTCACTCAGCTTCAAAAACCCGGAGCCACCTCTGATAGGCAATTGGAACATTCTACTATGCAGAATCTAAATACTCCAAAGAGTGATATTTGTGAGTGTTGTAGATTGAATTGTAGATCCCTTACAAAATGTGCCAACTTTGGTAGGGAATGATTTTCAGTATTCTGTAATTACCCTCTGTTTTGTGATCTGATATGATTATCCTATACGTTGTATATCTTAACCTCTGTTGGCAATGAGGCAGGATTAGAGGTTACTGTACACAGTGATTTTCAACCTTCCTAATGCCGCGACCCTTTAATGCAGTTCCTCATGTTGGGGTGACCCCCGACCATAAAAGTATTTTTGTTGCTAGCTCATCACTATAATTTTGCTACTGTTACGAATCGGGCAACCCCGTGAAATGGTCATTCGACCCTCAAAGGGGTTGCAACCCACAGGTTGAGAAGCGCTGCATAGCAGGACACAATCTACAGGGTTGTTATATATTGAGTCAATCTCTTTTGAGACATAAAGGAGATTAAACAAGTGAGCAAAGTTTTGGGGAGTGGGGTGGAGGAGATCTTACTACCACCAAGAAAAACTATCCAGGGCCACTGCAAAGAGTACCTCTTAGACCCAGGAGGCAGAAAGCTACACCAGAGATGGTGTAATGGTAACAGGTAGAAGCAGGAAACTGGAAGGAGATGCATCACTGGGCGAGTTAACCCACTAAAATGAGAGAACTGAATGCCTTCAAGCAGGAAGTGAACTAATAAGGCAGGGTGCCTCTGAGCATTTACTGGTGGCGCTAATGACCAGAGCAGTGCCTGGCCTGGGACCAGTTAAAGTGCTGAAGAGCTGAGGACAAAGAAACCTGCCTGAGAACCGTGGGTTATCTGCCCTGACTGAAGAACTGCATCCTGGGTTGTTTCTGATCCTGAATTGTAGCTTGTTAATGGAAATCTACAAAGAATCCCAGACCAGAATATGCAGAAGGTTCCCCTGCCCCCACTGACTGGTGGGGAGGTGTGGCTTTTGCTAGACTTGGTGCCCTGGATACAGACTTCCAATCTCCTAAACCGTGAATAAACTTTGTTTGTTAAAGCCATCCACTTGTATTTCTGTTAAAGTAACACTAGATAATCCAGCCTGTCGAACCTTAATAGAAACTGGCATTGGTTAACCCTTTACAGTGAAGGTCACCAATTGAGAAATGTTCTCTAATTCTCTCCCTCTCCAGAACATAGAGCATGTAGGGGCCCAGCTCATAAATAAGAATGGCCATCCAAGGTTTGCTAGATTTTTATGGAAAATGCTCAGTGTGAAAAGAATGTCCAGCTGAAAAAAGATAAACCCATTTGACAGGAGAAACTTTCAAGGGACCGATTATCATTTAAAATATCTATGGGAAGACAGTGTATCTATGAGACAAAAAGGGTGCAATATAAGAAAAACAATGAAGCCAGACTGGATTTTGTGGGGAAATGACTGAAAACTTAAAAATTCAGTAAAGGAAAAAAAAAATCAAGTAACATTGGAAGAAAAGAGAAAAGATGAATAGTTTGATCAGAATAAGAAAATTAGATGATTAATCCAACAAGCACAGCATTTTGCTCTTCAAAGGAGAAAATAGTGAAGAAATTACCAAATAATGTAAGATAGTTTTAGGCCTATTAAAAGGATGTGAGTCTCAAGATTCAAAGCGCTCACTGAGTCCCCAACCCCAAAGTGAACAAAGACCCACACCAAGACCTAGTATTGGGAATTTTCAAAACAATGCAGATATTTCAAAACAAAACAAAAAACCTAACTGGGTGGGGGAGAAAAGCTCATAAGCCCCCATGGAAGAAGCACACCAGCCTATGCAACCACGAGTTGTCGAAGGGATCAGGTATAAGGCATCATCAGAACAAAAAGTCTTACCATAGTGAATGA